ACTATGTCATCATAATTCAGCATTTATTTAAATACCATTCCAAAAATGCCTCTTTCTGCACACTGTCAGAATGATAGACTGGCAGACAAATATCTCGTTAACATGACTGGTTGTTATGAAGTGCAATACAATTATTTCTTAACACAAATAGCATAACTAAAGCTGAACAAAATTATTCTGATCAAATATTTGTTTGGCAGAAGTTCATACAGACTGCCACTGTTATTCAGATTACATCATTTAACGTATAGTTTTAGGCACATGAATGTATCTTTTCACTTAATGAGCATTCAAAATTATTTCCAACCAGATACTCTGGCTTATTGATGTTTACAAGAAGTTTATTAATAAATAAATGGATTTAACACCAGTGTAAAAGTCCACCTGTTCGTTCTAGGACTACAATACCCATGATGCATCTTTGTTTTTTTGTAGTTCGACTTTCACGTAGATGAGCAAGTTATTTTCTGTGCTTCTGTGTGGCTCGGTGGCATAAAAATCCATCAACGGATAGCATCCACCATCAATCTTTCTTTAATCCCGTGTGTATGAGACCTGTGTGCGTTTTTATTATGCAAGTATACATTTTTCTGCCCGATATTTGGGTTTATGTCAGTTATTCGCCCACGAGGTGAAATTAGCCTTGTGTTTTCTCTGGCTACCGATAATGCAAGCTATTACTTGTAATAACTCAAGTTCTATGCTATTCTTTGCCAGATATATATCACCATTGTAGTAGCATATGAGGAGATTGCCGTTAATTCATATTTCTGACGGTTTTTTGTCATTTGTATGTTTATTGCATTTTACCGATAATCCATGTCTGGTGTTATGATGCCCTCTATTGGATTTCTGTGTTACTACAAGCCATTTTCATCCTATATGTATGTGTAACCGCTTTGCCCGCATGGCTATTAATATGCATCTTTATTGTTTCTTCTGTTTCAGATAACCACACACACATACATATACATACAAAACCAAATACAACTACATCGTTCCTATCTCTACGTCATCATCTGTCCCATCATCTCCTATGTGCTTCCTATTATTCTATCAATAAAACTTCAAAGCTGCACTGGTGGAGTTGGCCTATTCCTTCTGACCGAGGAAGATTCAATTGACGAGACATCCGTAATTAGCGCAAGCTAGCACGCAGTCTTTTACAATCAGTTTTTAGTTTTCTAAAACGTAACTTATTAACTCGGCTGGTGAATGTTGATCCTGCTCCCCTTTCCGCATTTACCTGGCTGTCCCACCCCACTTCACCTGGAGAAAATAGTAACACAAAAATGACTTACCTAATTTTCTTTAGGAATATTTCATCTGCTTCTTTCTCTTTGGTCAAACAGGGACTTCTTTCTCTGGTGGCTGGTCCTCATTATCATCCTCCACACGTAGCATGTCTTCATTAGCCAACTTTGTAATACCCACCATGTTTCGTAGGCTAACACATGAAGACATGTGGTTAAAGTTGCCAAAGCAAAGAACTGTCACATCAGCCAAGTTGCTAAATAATGCACATAAAGGATAACTTTGACTAACATTAGCTTTTAATTTGCTAGATTAAAATTGGAGGGGGAAAAAACAAATTGCCTGTCTTTAAAATATGTTTAATATTAAGGGCTAACGTTACAGTAATTGTGTTTAATAATTTTAGCTAACATTAACTTACAGCAAGGTAGGATTGGCTTGAATTACTCATAGCTAACATTACAAAAAAAGAGAACATAATCAATGTTATTTTCTCAAAGAAAATGTAAAGTTAATAAGACACATACCTCATATGTATTAGGTGACAAACTTCGGCTTCTTTTTAAACAGGAGGTCTGGCCGTTATAACTTGTTAGGTTGGCGCCACAATATGGAAGATTTCTTCTTCACCAACACACTGCACACCTGTTTGTGCACTGCTGCCTCTCACTGGTGGAGATGGTGTATTGCACTGCTTAGCCCTTGTGTTTAGAAAAAGTTTCCATACCAACCGACCCCACACACGTAAAACTTTTATCATTTGCCACAGTTCTCTACGTTTGCCTCAGTCCTCGCACGCACAAGAGTTAAAACAGCCTTAAATAATGTTTCAAATGCTAAGTTCATAAGTGCTTTGTAGACATCTTGTTGTAGAACTTCAGATCAATTAGAAATTGAAGACTAAACAAAATGGCAGAGCAATATAATATTACCAGATAAAGCTACATAATTTTTAAAGTTTAATCGGTAATACTCTTATAACAAATTTATGATAGATCACGATTTCTAGGTTAATGTCAAGTTGTCATAACAGATATTTTTGTCAACACTTCCATTTCCATTTATATTAGCAGTTATTTAATATAGATGTATTTAGAAGCTTCAAATTTTATTCCAGGTCTACTTTAGACTGCATATGCTTAGAGTTAATGGCAGAAGCAGCTTCTTCAAGTATTGATTCACTCATTAAGTTGAATTACTTAGAATGAAATGTTCATGCATTCAAGTTAAAACAGTGAAGGACGCTTTAGCTTTTGTTTCAGTGCTTTAGTAATATTTGGAAGAAGATTTTAAGCTTAGTATCAGTGCTAAAATTAAAATATTATTTTAATCTCTTAACTGTCGCCCCCAAAATACTTGGATGTAAGTCACTGAGTCCATGGGGACACTGTTGTCCTCATGCTTTGTAGACATCTTGCTGTAAAACTTTAGGATCAATTAAATTAAGAAATTGAAGATTAAACAACATGGCAGAGCAATATAATATTGCCACATAAAGCTAATTTTTAAAGTTTAATCGGTAATGCTTTTATAACAAATTGACATTAATCAAGGAATCATGATCTTACAAAAGTCAGATCATGATTTCTTGATTAATGTCAAGTTGTCATAACAAAGACATTTTCAAAAATGTCAACTTTGTATTAAAAGTGTCATAATTTACCGAATGACACTTTATGACAACAGTCATAAATATTCATGAAGACTTATTTATGTTTATGACAGTGTCATGTCAGCCTTATTCACACCCCTTCAAATACAGTGTTACTAAAAACTTTCAAAAACTATTGAGTGGTTTCATAATATTTCTCTCCACTTCAACCAAGAAAACAATAATTAGGACATTGTAAGTTAATATTTTGTTGAACATTTTACAAAGGCAAGAATATTCTGCTATTAAATAAAGCTGAGGTGTCATACTGGTGTAAAACAATTGTTTGAGCATATATTTGCTATGGTTTGTGAATGTTTGTTAATCTTACAAAGCCATAGACTGCATTTGATCCAGAATGTGTTCCAAGTGGAACCTGTTAGGAAAGTTGTTTCGTTTCTTCTATGCAAAAATTTGGCATAAAATTTAGGGACACAAGTAATGTCCATGTTACTTCCTAATGGCTGCATTTTCATAATTTGTATTTTGTTTTGTTTTTGATAACCCTAATATGTCTTACAGGCCAGCCAGCAGGTGGCAGCTTCACAGCGCTCCAGCTCTAGTGCCATGTACATGAACCTGGCCCACATGCAGGCAGCAGCAGCAGTGGGGGCCAGTGGTGTGACAGGTGGTCTTGCTGGAGCTTCAGCAGTCAGCCCATCCACCATGTCTGGCTCAGCCAGTGGAGCAGTTAGCTCCATGGCTGACCAGGCCAGCAGTCAGGCAGCTGCCAAGCTGGCTCTACGGAAGCAGCTGGAAAAAACCTTGCTGGAGATCCCTCCACCCAAACCCCCAGCCCCACTGCTCCACTTCCTCCCCTCTGCAGCTAACAGTGAGTTTATCTACATGGTGGGCTTGGAGGAAGTGGTACAGAGTGTCCTGGACAGTCAGGGTAAGTACTTAAAGAAACAGTTTTATATTAGAACTCCAAAAAACAACCGAGATGTACGGACAGACAAAATATGAGTATTTATTTTTGTAGCAAGATACCAATGACTATTCATATGAGGGTCTGCAGCGAGTCTGCCTCTTTTGTAGAGAAAGAAATTGGTTTAAGTTTATGGAGTGTTGATAAAAAGTAGAAGAATGTTTGTCAGAGTACTTAAAGTGATGGATATCTGGTGCAGCTTGTCACTAGTTGTTCTGAAACAATGTGTTTTGTTTAGGTAAATTCAGGGGGTCTTTGGCCCGTATGGAGCCTTTCTTCTGTGCCCAGTGCAGAACAGACTTCACACCCCACTGGAAGCAAGAGAAGAGTGGCAGAATCCTCTGTGAGCAGTGCATGACATCCAATCAGAAGAAGGCTCTGAAAGCAGAACATACCAACAGACTGAAAAATGCTTTTGTAAAGGCTCTTCAGCAGGAACAGGTCAGCATTGATATAGTATTGACCAGTTACTGGTCTGAAGTTATACATCTGGTATAAAAAGCTACACTTTCAAATTGGGAAAATATTGCTTTATGTCTTTATAAGATGAAACAAAGAAGTAAGACAAAGTTCTAGGGTGAGCACAGTTCAGATCGGAGCTGTGCCTCTCCTTCACCATTTTAACACATTTGGTCTCTTTCATTTTTGTTTTCAAGAATGATGGCAGGTGTTGTGCACCAACTACTTGGTTGTCAGTCTAAAATTCTAAATCATTATGTCTAATAAGTCCAGTGCAAGGAAGCTACTAGAGCCTAAAACCTGGATAATTATCCAATTAATGTTCGCTTCATATGTCAATCATGAGAAGGCAGAAAAGCAAACCCTGCAATAAACACGATTACATAATAATTTCTACAAAAGTTAGCATATGTTTATTTAGTCTGTTGCTTTGACGTTCCACCAATAAATCTTTTGAAGCGACCAACTATATCACAGATACTGACTTTAGTCCTACATTGCATTTAATACTTGATTTTTTTAGATATTTTTAGCTCAAAAATCTTATTTGCAATGCATTGACACATAAAAGCCTGTTCTTAGAGCAATTTGTAAGGCACCAATTTTTGGTTTTTGTTGGCCATTGGATAATTTTATCTTTTATTTTTAAAATATCTTAGTAAAAATACCACAGCTTCACAGTATCATAGTACTGAGTCTCAGAGAGTAACAATCTAATGTCGGCCCATGAACATCCTGATTTATGTTTAATTTTTCCAATAAACACTGTAAGTTGTAAGGTTAACTTTGAGGTTTGAGGACAGAAAATCTTTCTTTTTCATGTGCTACTTAAGTTGTTTTTGTTATCCTTCCTTAAAATCACACTGACCAAGACCATTGGTAAGGCTTCACCTCTAAGCTTTTCATTGTGAGTAATGAACTGTAACTGTGTGGGTCTGTCAGGAGATTGAACAAAGGCTACAGCAGCAGGCAGCTCTCTCTCCCAGCTCCGCTGCTACTGGCTCCAACGTCTCCAAGACTGACACGATGATCCGACAGCATGCCCTGCGCCAGGTACATTGCATCACTCTTCATAATGTTTTAGGAATGTGTGCTGGAAGTATTTATGTTGCACAAATTAAAAAAAAACCATTGCATTCATGCCAAATTAAATGTTCTCTATTATTATTGGATAATTGAAGTCTATTTGACAATTTTGATGTTAATTGAGAAGATTTACAAGCACATCTGTTGCAAAAACAGTTTATATATATCAAACACAAACAGAGTTACATTGCTATAGCAATTGTGATGTTCAACTTTAAATAATTCTAGTGTTTCTTCAGGTGTACCTTTAAAACTGCGGTTTTGGTTTCTTCATCAACCTTAGAAAAATGAGCTGTTTATCAGTAGGGTTTACTAAACATTTAATAATTCACAGAAACTGGTAGGGGAAGGGAACAAAACCATAGGACAAAGAACCATAGAATTTCCTGAATTTTCTCTTGAATTTAATTGAAAATAATTTTGGAATGATATGATCAGACCCTTTGGTTTCAGAACCAAGTAATTTAGCTGTGTTCCTTGAAACTGGAAACCACCAACCATCTATTTCCTAGTCACCAAAAGTTACACAAGGCCCTTTATGTATGCTTTCTGATCAGAGCACACCCAATTTGCTAAATACTCTTATTAGTTATTTTTAGTAACTGCAATGTCCAGTGGATACTGGTGTGACCAAAATTGAGATACCTTATTTTTGCCTTTTGATTCTTTTAAAAATAGGGAATTTATGATCATATGAAAATATCTAATTCTTGTATTGTGGACAGGAATTGTTTTTTTTTTTTTTTTTTTTTGAAGAATTATGTGTAGTTGAAGTAGATTATTCACTAAATTTCCGAAGGTTTTATTAGCTACCACTTTATAAGTGACTAAAATACATAAAACTGAGCTGTGTGATTTTAGGTGAAGTTAGCGATGATGCTTTGTTTTTTTGTCTCTAGGCTCAGCAGCCTCAAGCTTCTCTGCAGCGAGGTTTGTCTAACTCTGCAAGAGGCGTCCTTTCCAACTTTGCTCAGGCTTCTCAGCTGTCTGTGGCCAGCAGCCTTATGGGAATGAGCAGTGCTAAGCACTGTGGTAGTGGCGGGAGTAGTAACAGACTGCAGCACGACAACCGCCGTCAAATCTACAACATCCCAGGTAAGGACAAACTATTAGATTTTTTTCACATAGATAGACGTTAATAACTTATGAACAGCAGAATGTATATTACATTGTTTCAGTATTTATAAAATAAAATTGTGAAACATTTCAGTATCTTAATTGTGATGCACAAAGGCAAATGTATGAACAAGTTGGCAGAGCAGAAACAGAAAATAAAAGCTAAAAAACTAATTTCTGAGAAAACAGTGATTCTTGTTCGGGGTTTGTTGGGCAAAGTACTCCATCAAGTCATAAAGAAGCACTTCCATTCTTTAAAATTATATTATCTGAGATTTTAAAATGGTAAACTTTGTGTTTGAATTCAGCCTGTTTAGAGTAAATCTGAGCCATTTGAGAAGATGTGGGGGAAAAATCAAAGTTGACTAGAATACTGGGCTTTATGTATGCTCAGTATGCTAGGCATATAGTATGCTTTTGTTTTGGTTTCGGCTAGTAAGTTGCAAGTTTGAAGTAAACACATGGCTCATTAACATCTCTAACACATTACTCAACCCATGCTGGTAACGGGTGTTCAAATACTTCAGAGATGACATCATCCACAATAAACATACAGGAATGTTTATGGTGGATAAACCATAAACATACTGAATTGATGTCCTGTAGGTGAATCACAGAACTTATTTTTTTAGAATGCTATTACGATCTTTGTGCAACCAGCAGCGAGGTGGCACACAGATTGTGCCACCTCTTACATTCTGTTACTAACATTTTTGTAGTAATAGCATTCTAAAATTTGGTGGCGAGGCAGTTATTCCACTGCCTCGCCACCAATATAACTGTGACAAGGCAGTGAACAGTGCACTGTACACAGCAGGATGATCAATTACAATTATCATAAGCGATAATCTTAGAACGCATAACGTTCTGAGATTTTCAGGAGGGAAAAATCGGGACCAAAAATTGTGCCATGTGAACTAGGCTTAAGACAAAACCTGACAGCCTTGTTGGAAAATGGAACAAAAGCTGAAAACTTCTAAAAATATGTATTTCTGACTAGTTAAGCCAAGTCGTACCTCCTGAGAGTATTGATGTGACGTTCCCATTCTTTCTATGCTGTGAACGGTAGGACTCAAGCCTCAGTTAGTGACAGCTGTTCTTATTTTTTACAGCTTGCTTATAATGCTCTGCACTCACTTCAATAACTATTGCTATTTTCATGTAACTTAAAATTATTTGACAGGGTTAGGATATCTTTTATGGTGCAGAAGGGATTTTTGTTTCACCAAGAGCAACTCAAGTCTATTTTCCTTTTATCATCATTCTAAATTAAACTTGCCCTAAAGCAGTGGTTCCCAAACTTTTTCTGGGCCCCCCCTATGGATTACAAATAGCTGTCTGGGACGTGGGGGAGGGGGGATCGACATTTTTGGGGACAAAATGAATGTACAGAGCTGGACATAGACAACAACATCGGTAGCCTACAGGCTACTTGTTAAGCTTAAGGTGCTGTACTGATATTAGCTAGCTAGTCATCCTTTAGCTAACTTTTCCTGCATCCAACAGCTTCACTCAACTCAGTCGGTTAGTTTGGGGGAAAACTGTGAAAAGTTCTTTGCGTTTTGCTGGTTTGCTGCCATGATTCTAGCAACACCTGCCTAGCTCTGCACAGCAGCAGCAGGTTTCCTTCGCTGCCGCACGGCGTAAACCCAGCGCGAGCGTCGTAGCGCTCATGTTGCCTTTAAAGGCGGCTCGGAAAAACAGGTTACCACATGTTAACAATGGATTAAATGGTTTTAACTGCTGATAAAAGTAACAGAGGACACAGATATGGGAAGTGTGGAAGCCCCTACTGTATCAAATTGACATAGGAATAACAGAGAGTTGGCCATTCTAAGGTAAAAACCGAGCGCATACAGCGTTCATGTTTTGTTTTGTTTTTCATCCGGACGGCTTCCCGCGCCCCCCCTGCAATGGCACGGCACCCCCCCTAGGGGGCGGGCCCCACAGTTTTTGAACCTCTGCCCTAAAGTATTACTAATACACCAAACATTTGTAGTAAAGAACAATATTTGGGTAGCTGACATTTATATTAGAAAATGTTGTATTTTATGGAAATACATAGCCATTTTTTCTGTGGTTGTTTTGCAACATTCAGACAAATATTAATTTTACTTAATATAGATGATTATACTTTTTTGTGAATTTCACTCATAAAAACTGTATAAGGGATAAAATTATTTTAGAAAAATTGCAAATGTTAAAAAATTTAAATTTTTAATGACTCTTTATAGTGAGTGGATCCTGAAGATTCAGTTCCCTTCGAAGATCCATAAGTCCCATCAATAGTTGACAGTCAATGCTGGGGTGGGGTTATTGTAAAATAATGTAAATGATCGCCTTTAACACCCCCAGATTGCTCAGCAGGTTTGGGGAGAAACTTTCAGAGCTGCTTTCTCTGAAATCTCGTTTTCTGACTGCCAACATTCAAATGGCCATATTTTCTTCTTTTTTTTTTTTTTTTGATTCCCATGTGTTTGACATAATTGGAAAGATTAGAAGCCACACTTTCAGAAACTGTAAATAATTCAAAACGTCCCCAAGGAGACTTGTTCATGGTTTTGTCATAGCCAGTCACATTTTTTTGTTCATATACCTATTTATACATACCAGTGTGCTGGCTGTAAGTGGTGGTGTTGTGTAAGAATTGTTTCCTGTGTGGTTTAGTGCATCAATCTTTTGTGCTCAATATTTGTCTGATTTGTTCCTGTAGGGTTAAATATTGCCTACCTGAACCCTGCAGCTGTTGGAGCCCATAAGACTTCCAGCTTAGCAGACCGGCAGAGAGAGTACCTGTTGGACATGATCCCACCTCGGTCCATATCGCAGTCCATCACTGGGCAAAAATGAGCCCCATTATTTCTCATGTGTGTCAGAGGCCAGCCTCGTTTGATAACTTCCCCCCACTCTGAGGCACTCCCAGATCAGCTGATATGTCAACCCCACAGTTTCATCGCATGCAGTGCCTGTCCGTGTGCCTACCTTAGACCAACCCATGAGAACCTACCAAGCTGAACAAAACACAAACTGTCAGTACATCTCAGTTGTTCTTATTATAGCAGAAATTCACTTCTGTAATTCCCTTTATAATCACTGGTGGTAGCGCCTATACTTGCAACTGCCATTTAAGCTTAAGTTAGTGTTATTCATTATGTTATAATTTGCTTTTGAAGTGTTTGTCTGATATTTCTATTTCTCCACTGTTTACCATTTACTTCAAGACGCCCAGTCATTGTCAATTTAGTGAGATCATTTGAAAATATTCTTTTTTTTCTCACTTCCAAAGCTATTATGACTATTGATGAGACTAGAAGATCAGCAGGGTTCACTCTGGTTGCTATGCAACATAAAGTTACTCTAAAGTTTGTAAACATGATTTGTTTGCTAAGTAGTATTTAAAGAAAGTGAAAAATTCTATTAGGAACAAAAACGGATCATATTAGGCAGCATTTGATCTTGAAAGACTATGCTGTTTTAAATAATTGAACATTTGAGAGCAAAGTGCTTACCATGGATCATCTCAATGACCAGCTTCAAAGACATCATCAGTCATCACAACGATCCACTCCCAGAACTGATTTCAGCCTGGGGTTCAGGGCAACACCTGGATATCTTGGAGAGGACCCCTAACCAACTTCAGTACCCACCAACTGAAAAAGAAAATTATGTACAAAAGAGAATCTTGTGGAAATTAAGTGTGGAAACCCTCTCCACCATTCTTCAGTAAGGGGTTTCCTTTGTTTTATTTAGGATGCCAGTCTTCTGCTGATCTGATATAGATGTGTTGCTGACAAGTATGTGTAGGACATTCTGTTACTAGCACCATCAGATGAAGCAGGTGGTGGACTGATGAACGAGAAGACAGAGGAGCATGAACTTCACATCGTTAGTCCTCACCTGCCAACAACCTCTCCATGCAGCTGTCCTTCATACTGTTACCTCTTCATTATTCACATAGTGAACTCTTTTTATCCCAGCAGTTCCTTTAGAGAGTGTACAAAACATACAACTTCAGTCTACATCCAGATCACAGATTCTGTATCTAAAATACCCAAATCCGGGTTCTGGTTCCAGTCTGTGTTCTTACTTTTGTAATTCCTGCATCATTTCTTTCCCATTCTTTATATTTGTTTCTTTTTTGTGCAGCGTCTCCAAATGATTTGGTGGCCTACCTGAGAGGTGTCGGCCACTGGAGACGATAATAATCTAAGACATTAACTGTTGAAAAATCTATGGATTGTGTATAGATACCTAGCTTCAGAGAATAAAGGGTGTGGATGTTTTATGGGAGAGACATGGATCAATCAATGTGTGCACATTGTGCTCACAAGTTGCCTCACTCAAGAGGAGCACTTTTCATATTTCCAAATGGAAATTTTGTTTGTTTTCTGGTAAAGAGGAAATGAATGTTGGATTGAAAGTGCATATGCATTGTTTATTGCTGATTAAATGTTTAGACCCCTGAACACATACCATCCTAACTACAGTATTCTGTCAATCTTTGAAACACCAACTAGTTTAAAGTGTACCCAGTTTGACTTTTTACTGTAATGTTTCATTTTCAATGCCATGTTAACAAATATTAGTATCAGATTCTTTTCACTGATGGAGCCTTCCTCTCACTTGTACCTTTCTTATAAAGAAAGGTACAACCTTACTTTCCCTACACCTCAAAAATTGTATCCTGTACACTTTTTTCTGCTTTGACAGACAATCTCGATTCTTCTGTGATATACTCAGTGAGCAGGATATGGGCTCTGCTGGCAGTTTTGATTTTCATGTTCTTGGCATTGTAAAAGTCTCCAGCATGAAGGTGCAGTGCTTTGTGTTTTCTGTGATAGATGGTCTTGTTGTAAGGGACCCTTTATGTGAAGGCCTTTGCACAGTTTCATTGCGTTGATGCCAGGTCCCAGTGGTTTCTGGACCTCTTGTCTGATGAGGAAAACTTATATGATAAGCTGCTTTGCCAGCTCATAAGAGGAAATTAAGTTTGCGAGATTTCTCATCTCTGGAGCTTTTTGCATTCTTTTATTTGTTCCTGAGTGATGACCTGTACAAATTTCGATAAAGATTTACTCTTTGCACAGTAATTTTTTTTTTTTTCTTGAAAGTGTCCATGTTGTTTTCTTCATTCTGACTGTGGTTATATTTGCACACTTCTTTATTTGCAGGGTCTTTAGCTTCATTTTGAACGGGAGTTGGTGCATGATCCATATTCACATTTTGTTCAAGCAGGACTTGAAGAACTCTCACATATGATAAAATGTTAGTTGCACAGGTCCTTGCATCTACATGGACTGAGACCATAAACTGCATGGCAGACTGCCCAGGCCACCTGACTGAAGCTGTCTTAACCATTATGCTTAGTTAGTTTGCAATAACTCAGGTATTTCAAACAGCGTTCACTCAGTATTCAGTATTATTCATGGATATGCAGGGACTTCTAAGGTGATTTTGAGGGGAAGTCGATTCAGTTCACACTGGGGTTGTCACAATGCTAAAGTTTCATACAGATGTTAAGAAATACTCAATATAGAGGCAACATTTCTTAAAAAAAAGGCTTCTTTCTAGTTAAAAGCAAAAATGCAAAAAACTATGATTAATTAAAATATGATTAAATTTTTTGTTTCCATAGTTGGGGCATAACCAATAAGTATTGAACAATTTAGCTTATGGACAAATATAAAGGGGTCAATTTATATCGATTTTGACACAAATCAGTATCGTTGAATAATTTTTTTCTAGTATCTATTATATTGAGATATTTATTATTTTGACAACCCTTGCTCACAGTACTCTGGACTGAAATATTTCCTACACCACATTTTATTATCTTCAGTCATCTCAGAAATCTGTCTTACCTAAATGAAAGCAAAATCACATGGAATATTTTTAAACTCTTACCCATCTCTGCATCTAGATAGGCACACATATGCTTTTAAAGTATAATGTTGTGCCACATAAGAATCAAATGTCTTTCAAGTTCTGGACAAAATCAGTTCTAAACAGATTTTTCTTGATTCTTTTACCTGTAGGTATGATTCCATTACATTTTTAAATTTGCATAGTCTTCATGCAAGTATTCACCTTCACTTGGCCTGGAATCACATTTGCTTGAATTTGTTTGGGGCCACTTCAAAAAATAATCCATGGTGCTCTACACAGTCAGTACAGAGGTGCATTATAGTGAAACTATACAGTTGAATAAATACATTGATTAAATTAAATTAAATCATCCAAGTTGACTTCACCATTAATTACAACAAATGCCATGTCTAGGGAGAAAAATGGGTCAATTCATATCCAAATATAGTAAATTCAAGTCATTTCAAATTCAGTTCAGTTCAGTGCATTTCACTGCAAAACATTCATATACTAAGGTTTGAACTCAGTTTTACAATTTCCTATGCATTTAACAGAAATTTATCACAAGATATCAGTGAAAAGTTGTAGGAAGCCCAATCAATAACATCAAGTCATTGACATTGCAGCAACCCTACCTCCTGAGCTACAATGTGACCACAATAAAAATGAAATATTCCCTTTGAAATTGGTTTTAAAAAATGCAACTTGGTTTAGTGTGAGTGGCCACCTTCAAGGACTGACCAGGAGTTAAAGGTCAGGAAACAGGCACTGAAAACAGTGAAACTTGTTGTATTTCAGCATAGGCCTAGTTTTTCTGGACCACTTTGGACTTTTAAAATTTTGACAATTTTGCACATGGACATGCAATATTTGTAAAATTGTTATCTTACAGTCTTACTACAAATATTACTGTAGTGTATTTGTAGTAAAGAGCACAAAAACATGTGGTACTCCTAAACTTAACTTTTTGCGTATGTTGATTTTTGAATCAACATGAACAAACTGAATTCTATTGGACAAATATGAACTAGCCAACACATTTTTCAATTGGGCCTAATTAGAATCCCAGCCATCCATAATTGTATTTAAAGGCACAGTTTTTTTTACTTTGGTTTGTAAGGTAATCTTAATTAAAATACTTTACTCTTAGTATCTTCATTTTCATGATGCAGATCAGTTTTTCATATTTTAACTAGTCCCTATAATTTATGACAGCATATGACAGTGAATGATGTTACTTTTGTCAACAATTGATACTGTCTTTATATTTAGCTTAGTTCTCTCCTCTCATGCCCTTGGTCTATCTGTTCATCAAGCACAGCTTTTTCAAAGCATCCTCACTCCATCAGATAGTTATTCTGGGTGGCTATGCCTGACATGTTCTCTTTTCAGTACATGTGATTTAAATTTGTATCATCTTCCACAGGTAAGATATTCTCTATCCTTGCCTCTTAACAGAATGACAGTTCAAACAAATCTAACTTTTAGCTGCATACTTTGAACTGATTGCAGTGAGCCTTACACTGTTCTGTTCATTGCTCTGTGTTCTTTTATAACAAACTGACCAAATGTCAGTAACACTTAGCTTATCAAAAACATTTCTCCAATAATACAATAATTCTAGGCTCTACAACCTCTCATAAATGTTTCAGTTGGATATCAACTTTAGCATCTCAGAAATTAAAGTTGTGTGTCTTTTGTGTGTGTTTTTTAAATTGTGGCCGCCCATTGAAGCTTTTTGTATCGCAGTAACTGCACCATGCACATTGTATTAGAAATCCCTGATTTATTTTTCAAGTAGACATCCACATGAATACAAGATGGTTGTGTTGTAGTAACTCAGTCCTGCCAGTGTTCATTTATACTGAAATATAAGCATTAGCTTATATTTCAGGCTTAATTGCCTTTTTTTGGTTTTCTATTTAAGTTATCATTGACTTACGTTTTATAAAACATTATCTCTTATCCCATTGGAGGAACAATTTAACTTGTATGTAGCAATGTTGTATACATTTTTTGCTATCTGCACCATGTTTGGACAACACTAAACAATGCGACACAGTTTGTGTTATAGTTCTCCTGCCAAGTGTAAAGTTGAATTTGAGAAGGAACCAAACCCTCCTGTGTCTCATACCTTTCTGCAGATGCATCCATGTACTTTTATGTTTGGACAATTTTTTTTCAGCTACATATATTTAGATTTCTGAAATAATTTTATTCTGATGTCTTGACGAAGTTCAGTTTTCTGTTTTATTGCAGTTTTAAAAAAACAAATGTATTGACTATTGAAATAAATGACACAATATTTGCTAGGTTTGAAGTAATAACTTATTGTACAGAAGCATTTTTCCTCCCTTGTACTGAAAAATAAATTAAATGGGTGTACATTGTGTAGAAAAGCAAACAAAAAGCCATGAATATTGTGAAGCTTGTCATTTTGTTTTGTGATCACTGTGTATTATTGTGTAACAAATGTGCAAAACGTTAGGGATTCCATTTAACCCTCTCCACTCCCCCACCCTCATCCACCCAACCCCATGTGGTCTTGCTAGATGCAATTGCTTGATTTATATATATTTTATTTTATTTTATTTTTTTTTTTTTGACTAAAGTTTGCAGTAAAGTGTTTACTGATTCAGGTGAACAACATTTGCAGTCAATGACTGAGCTTTTGAAGCATTTAAACTTGATGTGTAAATTAAGGTGGGAATGGAAGTTTTTTTTAATTCAATTGCTATTCTTGTTTGAACATGGTGTAAAGGAGCACTTATATATATGTTACAGTAGCTTATAATTTGTGAAAGTCCAGCCTACTCAGACAAGATGTGTTCATGCTAAATGATGGTGACCTGATCATTCTGAATCAGTGATCACTTTTTTTGCCAATACCAGCATACAATAGATGTGTTCCTGCACTCTTTGACTTTCTTGTATTGGTTATTGTTGCTTATGCTGGAAAAATGCACACCGCAGAATCCAGTTCATCAAATAATTTTATTTGCATTGTGATGATAATGTTGAAACAGATGTTGAAATCAACCAGAGACGAACTGAAAACATTTTTGTTTTGCTTACATCAATCCTGACCTTTTGCACATACTTGATATTTAACTATCTTCAAAGGTAAAAAAAAATAATAATAATAATAATGCTGTTTGAATACTGCCAGTTGATTGACAATTATGCATTGATTGAAAAAAAATAAGCTAATTTTGGAGGAATTAACTTTGTAATATTTATCTCTTGCAAGCTATGTTTAATAAAGGTTGAAACAATTTGCTTCAAAGTGTGATGTCATTACCTGAAGTCCTCAAGTTTTGTATTTTGTCTACTCCCATAGGTAGGCCTAACTACCTCCCAGTTTGAAGTAATATTAAGTAACACAGTGATTGTAATATTTCAAACACCACAATAATGGAGTATTGCTAAGTATGGTTAATGTGCTCAAAAGATCACTACCATTTTCTTCCCCGGTTTTGAATTTATATTTGCTCTTCAATGGCATGTCTTCTGAACAGCTACAAAAAAAAACTCGACCTTTTGTTGGAAACATTGCAGTGGTAATATTAAAAACTGATAATTGTTCAACGTGCGCCATTAGAAGTTTTTGCTAGCTGTGATTTTTTTTTTCCCTTAAAGAACCAGCACTATATTCTGCTGTGACTTGCAAAACAACCTCATTATCCATCAGACCACCACAGCTATCAAGTTTTGTAACAAAGATGTCAGGCTTCACTCAAACCAGCTATCCCCTGCATACTTTCATCAAAGGTACGGTTTATTTCCAACACAGAGTGAAGTACATTGTGGTAAGTGGATAAATATTAACATTGCATTCAATTAAGTTTTGCATGAGTCACAAGATTAAATTGTCAGTGTGTGTCCTTTAGAGAGTGTTTAATATATATGACAGTGATTGGGGTGTGCTAACTGAGTGCTGTGCTGGGAAATGAGTCAAAAGATTTTGTGAAAGACTGAAATGTGACAAAGATGCAAAAAAAAAAAAAAAAAAAGAACTAATTGGGAAGGGGCCGACTGCACTTTCACATTTGATAGTTGGGATAGTGGTCTGTGTAACTACTATTAAGTCTTTAACATATACAGCTGTTGTGACTCATATCTGTGAAGTCACTGATTTAGCTGTGTAGTTTCACATCAGTACATGCAAAGCGTACAACTTATGAATTTAGTAGTATTTTCGAACAGAAGCCCCACTTCATAAGTCTTAAAGAGATTTCATAAGAAATCTTATGAAATCTTTAATGATGCTCGAGGAACTGGGCATCATTAAGGTGCAATTAAAGGTGAAATCCTACAATCACACCTGCATCAAGGAGATGAGCAATTTCACTTTTCAGCATTATTGTCACATGAGATTAAACTTGGAGCAGCAGTTAAAAAACAAAAATATATTGCAGAATATTGGAGAATATTTTTGCAGTACCTTGCAATACCACAAATGTATAGTACATTTTCAGCAACAAGGCAGTTAAAAGTGCTTTACATGAATTAGAAGGAAATACAAACAAACCAAAAGAGATAAAAGTTATGGATGGGGTTAGGGCCAGCCAAAGCCTCCATGGGGCCCTAAGCGAAATTTGTTTTTGGGGCCCTCTAGTACTGTTAACAATGTGGACTAGCTGCAATCAGCAGTCCGATCATTAGATCATTCATATAAACTTATT